ACTCTTTGCGTGATGGTTTTGAAGCATCGTTCAGGTGGTTTTATTTCTTTTGGGGGATTGCATCATCCATCACCATCTGAAAGTGTCACCTCTCCACTGCTGCCTCGGGGAGTGTTTTATGGCACTGCAGGCAAACAGGGCGTGCAAGGACTGGGCACTGCAAAGACGAGCGTGTGCTCGTCCCCTTCTTGGTGGCTGTAAGTCACATCCCTCTTCCCTCGCTGGCTTGTTGTTCCTCATCCTCCCCGTTGTTCCTCAATCCGCCCCGTTGTTCCTCCTCCAAGCTGGGGCAGCCTTGGGGATCTCGCCCACGTCAGGACGAGGGACGAGCCTCCAAGCCAGGGGCTGGGGCAGCCTTGGGGATCTCACCCACGTCAGGACGAGATTTGGGGCTGTGACATCTAGACAAGAGGGGCCAAGGGCGCGGGATTCAGTCTAGGACTGTCGCCATAGGAATTCTCTCACCTCACCTCTTCCTACTTCCACTTGTGCAGCACAAAAGACACACGTGGGGTTTATTCCCAGCTGCAGAAGTGCAGAAAGCCGTCTAATGCGATGAATGCAGGTCCTGAGTGCAACTGGGTTGTAAGCAGGAGGAGTTACAGGGGACCAGGAGAGGCCCTGGTGCAGGGGGGATGGATGTGCCTCTCCTACCCAGTTTGCTCTGGACAGGCTGTTTCCCACCTCCAGCCATGTCCAAGGGGTTTTTTTGCCAGCTTTTCTGCTCCACTGCCTCCCTCCAGCGGCTGTGCCTGCTCAGGATCGCCTGGTCCTCATCCCACCAGCTCTGCGGACCCCAGCACGCAGCAAAGCCCTGTGCCATCCGCTTCTCCTCCCAGCCCCACTGGAACCGGTCCTGGTGAGCGTCGTCTTGGGGATATAGAAATAGTCTAATTTACAAAAAGGGGGGATTAAAATAATCAGGGAGGCTCCTCCAACCCTCCCCAGCAATAAAACTGAAACAGAGTGAATTGCCCCAGTTTTCCAGGGGGCTGTGAGATGCAGCCCTTTGTGCTGCAGGCCAAGCGCCAGGCCAAGCGCTGCGTCACAGAGCTGAGCGTCCGTTCCTCTTGACAGACAAGATCAGCAGCATTTTTCGCCCTTCTCCTCCTGCTTCTCTTAGCGTCCTTCGGATGTCCCTTTTTACCCTGGAGCCTGTTCAGGAGATGCTTTATGGAGCCGTTCATGGAGAAACACCCCAATGCATCTACCCCTGCCTCTGTACTCACACCCCAGGATGTCCCCTTGCACGGCTTCGACCTGGGGAGGCACAAAGAGCTGTGGAGTTCAGCACTGGCTCCATGTGCACGCCTGCTTTCCTCCCCTTGAATTAGAGCAGCTGCTTTTCCTCCTGCTGGGAAAAGCATGGCTGCGTTGGTGGCCTTCAGAGTTGGTGCAAAGACCAGGAAGCTTTTCTCTGCATCTTTGCAGCTTGCTTTACATGCGCTACTTTTCTCTTAAATAAATGCGATGCCTGCTGGTAACCTTCCTTGCTGGAGAAATTGGGTCTCCTGGGTGAGAAGGAGATGCTCTGTGGGACAGGGAGGGACGTGTGCCCTCTGCAGAGCAGGGAATAAACCTCTCCTTGTGCCTGGCCCGGACATCTCTGAGAGCTTCAGAGGTGTTAAAGTCCAGTGAACTTGCCAGCAGAAATACAATTAATCACCCAACTGCTCTTTTTCCTCAGCCTGAGCCATTTTTCTCCAGTGTCTTCCCCTTCTTCTGACTCTTCTGGTCTCTCTTCTCCTTCTGTTTCTCCGTTCCAGTTCCTTCCACCTCTCTCTTTCTGTTCTTCTTTCTCTAATTCTCTTCTGTTTTCTCTCTTCTCTTTGCTGGCTTCTCTCTTTCACGCCATCTGAGTATACAACAGTCCTCCCCACTGCCACCCTCACCCATCCCCATCCTTTCCCGTTCCTCCTCTTCTGCTCCTTGGCTTGTTTTTTCTTTTTCCCTTTGCTCTTTCTGGGTTTTCTCACTGTGACCCGGATCACGTCCCTGTTCTTTCCCATGTGGATTCCTGCTGCTTTTCCACCAGGCAGGGAGCGTGGTGGAGGCCAAGCCTCTCCTGTGTGCTCCGGCACGGCTGCAGCTTTGCTCAAGACCTTTTGCTCTCCTGTGCCCTTTCTGCAGGAGGTTCAGCTGAGGACCATGTAGGAACCGGGCTGGCAGTGACTGCGGCACTGAGGACTTGTCCACCAGCACCCAAAAGCACCATCACAGCGGGCATGAAGCTTGGGGACCACATCAGGCAGCAGCTCCCGGGGAGCTGCAGAGACCTCCCCAGCTGCACCCCCCGGTACACCTCTTCTCCAGAGGTTGAGTGGCTCCTCCGCGCTCTCCCCAGGTGCCTACTGCTATGATTCTGCCCTAAAAAAAAACCAAACTGGGAGAAGCAGCACTTTTACTTCTGTTTCTCCACCTGACTCAGGCTTCCTCCGCGCAGTGAGCAGAGCTTGCAGGGCAGCGAGGACGCCCTCCATGCTCCTGGCACGGAAACCCATCGTGGTCGTCTCACCCACCTGCCTTGAGCACACGTGGGGGCAATAGGGACCTCCGTCCATACGGAGGTGGCACGTACGCGTTTGGGGCAAGGAGGGCATTGCATTTATTACCGCTCTATCTTCACACACTTGCTTAACCGCTTGTGATAGCATCTTTCTGAGAACTGAAATTCGGAGGCTCAGCTCTGGCCATAGCCGCTTCACCTTTTTAAAAATAGCCGATGGACAAAGATGCTGCCCCCACCCTTCCTGCCTGCACTTGCAAAAGCCCCCAAGATCTGGAGAGATTGTCTCAGCTCGTTCCTTAAGCAGCCCTGGCAGCGTTTCTTCACCTCTTGCTCACTCCTGTAACTGCTCCAAGGCTATTTCACTGCTTCTTTCCTGGTTCCTTGTTATCCCAGATCCGATCTCCGCTAACCTTGGGCGTAAGGGAGGATGCAAAAGCAGCACTACGAAAGTCCCAGCTTTCTCCACCTCACTGGTTAATGACTCTTTCTTGGTTAAATAACAAGCCAAACTTTTCTTTTTCCTTCCTCCTCTTTTTAAGGCAGTTAAGCAAATGCAGAGCCTTTCACAGCCCGCATTAGTCTTAACTCATTTTGTACCTTAGCTTTCCCATTTTGCCTCTGCAGTTTAGTGATCATGTCATTCTGCTCAAGTCCTTTGTGTTTTTCCTTTCCTCGTGGCCTTTTTTGACCAGTGGGATGCTGAAGAACTTCTCTGCAGCTGTATTTGCCTCTGAAGCTTCCCCTCTTGCCTCTGCAAAGGATAACCATCTGCCAAGGCTTTTAATACAAGTCTTAGGTGTCCTGCTCAGCTCTTCTTGGAGTCACAAGCAGTCCTTCTTAGTTGAAGTCAGGTTTTTTTAAATGCTTTTCTCCTTAAAATAGTAACTTTGGTCATTTCATGCTGTAGGAACATGAGAAGGGCTGTACTGGGCCAGCCCAAGGGCCGCCCAGCCTGGCTATATAGAATCATAGAATTGTTTAGGTTGGAAAAGACCCTTAAGATCATCAAGTCCATCCGTTAACCCAGCACTGCCAAGTCCACCACTAAACCATGTCCC